CCGCGCCTCGCCACCGAGGTTCCGCACACCCGAAGTTCCGGGCTCTGGAGAGGGGCGAGGTGGAGTGAGGGGCAGGGGGACGGGAGTTGGAGGGACTCCCCGCTCCCACCCCCGTGTGAGCTCCAGCAGCCCGATGTGTTAATACTAGACGCTTAGTCCCGGGAGCCTGCTGGGATCACTTCCTCCCCCTCGAGACCAGCAGCCTCTGCGCGCCAAGTGGCCCCTGGAAAGACAGGTCGGTCCTTTGGGTCCTCACGGAGCCTGCTTCCTTTTAAATTCATTTGACACCAGCAGTAGCAGTCCATCCTTCCGCATTAAAGGTTGGCTCACCAGTTGTCATCACTATTACAGCATCTGTTTATTGAGGTTGCTGTGCAGAACACTTTATCGGCTTCATATCTTATAAAGCGGTTATCACAATAATTTACATTTGAGCAAACAGGTTGAGAGAGTGATTTGTCGGAGTTCTTCCCGAGATGAGCTCATTTCAAGATGCCAGCTGCTTCTAGTGCCTTGTTTCCCTCGATTTCTTCGCATCTAAATGGAGATGGGTTCAAACTGAACTTACCTTCTCCCCAAAGAGACATCAAGAATGGTCTTTGACCAATCTTTTTTCAGCCACCTCCCCCCTGGAATGGTCTCCTCCTCTTAACCCAAATATCGCCATCTTCACTTCTTGAACCAGGTGTGTGAATTTATGAGATCAGGGACAATAACATCACCATTTCTGTGGCTCACCTGCTACCAGCATGAGTGGACCCTGTGTAAGGGAGTCATTAAATGTTTGCCTTACATAGAAGTCCTTGTTCAGGTCTTACCTGACCCTCCTGAGCCAGGGAGAGAGCCTCCAACTCTGTTTAGTCAACTCATGGAAGTGAAACCTGCCCTGTCCTAAGAGCAATGCAGGGGAAGACCATAAATTCCAAGTGTGCTTCCCTGTGTTTGGCTCAGGATTTTTGCACTATTTCCTCTGCTCAGATTTACACATGAATACCTCATTTTCAACTAGGGCTCAGTTTACACATCAGCACCTTAAAGGAACTTTTCTTGATGGACCCCTCCATCCTTTTACAGTCTATTTTTTACCCTAATTATGTCCCATTGTTTTACCCTATTATCTTTATGGCAGTTTTCATTATAAAAATTCTTAGATCCCTTTTTACATTAACTAATGGAGATTACATTCCAGTGGAGTGAGAGATGAAGGAAAACAAAGTAGGGTAAGAGAGATATAAGTAAGGGGACACTCAAGCAGAGACCTGAAGGAAATGAAGGAAAAATCTGTGTGGGTATATGGGGGAAAAGCCTTACAGTTAAGGTGAACAGCAAATTCAAGGCTCCAGTGCAGGAACATTTGCTTACCCTGCTTAAGGAACAGCAAAGTGGTTATTGTATCTGGATGAATGAGGGGAACATCAGTAGAAGACTAAGGAGGTGTGAGAGAGTTGGTTAGATTGTTCAAATTGGTGGTTTTTAATCTGTGAGATTAGAAGTCACTATAGGTTTTGAGCAGAAGAGTAATATGTACTACTCTTAAAAGGATCATCCTTTCTACTAGTGGGATTTAGGGTCTGTGGAGCAAAGATGGAAACTCTTCCAAATGTCTAATTTGTCCTTGTTCACCCAGGACTTTTCTTGCTTTAAAAACTGTATTTTTTCCTTTGAAACTTAAATCTAAAAAGATGAAGATATTTAGATACCAGTGTAATATTAAACACAGAATCCACAGTATCAACGTGTATTTTATCCTCTTACCACTACCTGGCTAAGTTTACATACTTTATACATAATAAGCACTTTCAATGTTGACACCAAAAAGTCCTCTCTTATTGAACCAGGACTTTCTTGGTTTTAGCATTGAAGACTCCATGGCCTGAATGCAAAGAATGGTAATATTAAATCCAAAAGCAGGCTGTAAAGAGTTAATCTCAAAATTGGCTTGTTTTGAGAAGTGAGTCTGGCCGAAGTCTATGCCACTGCCAAGATCAGATGAACTTGCACCCAAATTCCATTTCCACAACCAAAATCTTACTAGGAGGACAACATTCTAATTACAACTATATATCTTGTCTATTCTATTCCTAATTCGAGAATGCTTTGTTTTGTCCTTTATAAGCCTTGTTTACATTACTTTCCATAGAAACTGCACATAGCTTTCCTTTACCCCAATTGATTACCAATAAACGTCAATGCCTGGGGCTGGCCAGCACCTTCATAAGTTGCATTGGCATTGGTTGTCCTGGCACCCTGCTTTCTCTCTCTTAGTTCTGTCTCTTAGTGTATTTTTTTCCTCAGGCCTGCAATGTATACTGGGTACTGGAACCCAACTGCAAGGGTCTCCGGTACTGAGAATCCTTTCAAGTCATGGTCAAACAAGATAACTGGTTATTGTACCTGGAGATCACTGATCCAAGGGGCTAATGTTATAGTGTTGGAAAAGTGGTCAGATTTTGGGTGTATTTTAAACAAAAAGTTTCAAAATTTTGCTAAGTATGAGTATGATAGAATGAAAGGAGTCAAGGATGACATGCAGGTTTTTTAACTGAACTGGAAGGACAGAGTTGCTATTTAGAGATCAAGAAGGATACAAGTAGACTAGATTTTGGAGAAGGGATCATAGGAGTTTGTTTTGGACACATTAATTCATGATAATAGAGTGGCAAGGAGGGATGTCAACCAGGCTGTTGGGTAAATGAGACTCTGAGGTGTGTTCCAGCTGGAGATATAAAATGATATTTAAAGTCATAGTGTGGATGAGATCACTGAGGGGTAAATGTAGATAGAATGCTAAGGACAGAGCTCTGGGGCATGCCAACCTTTAGAGATCAGGCAAAAGAAGAGAAACCAGTAAAGAAGACTGAAAAGCAGGGCCAGTGATGTAGGAGAGGCAAGGGAAGTGGACCCTGGGGGAAAACTTTGTGCTAAATGCTGTCCCAAGTTATACACTAGGGAACTATAAAGACAGGAGTAATTAAATGGTGCCAAGAAGCCAAACTAAAACCTGTGGGGAGGTAATTCTTTGGTGGACCAGTCTCTGGCAGAAGTAATGAACATTTACCTTGACCACAAGATGCCACTGGATGGAGTACCTTTCTTCCATTAACTCAGGACCACTTAATAAGCACCACCCCTAGAATGCTCAGGGCTCAGAATCTGGTAACCTCCATTAGGGAACAATGGGTCCTGAACCTTCTGAAGACTCCCATTGGTAGAGGGATGAGTGGGTGAGTTCCCAATTCCAACAGCCACAGGCCAGGAACCAACGCTAAACTTTATGAATTTCCAACAGCATCCGAGTGTCTCTGATAGTAAGAGTCCCTCTAATTCCTGTCTTTTGGCTTGTGCCCTTAGGCATAGGGACACTCAGGGAGGATCCATTGCATTGATGGGGTGGTGGCTGCCCACTTGGAGTGCTAAACAGTTAAGAGGTAGTCTCCTCTAGGAGGTTGAGGATTCCTTCAAGGCAGAGACTGTGCTCTCCCAAACCACAGGAGATATACTGGTATCCCCGTGAACTGTTGAACTGAAGTTCCTTGCCCTTACTGAGGCTTCTCAGTACCATGGATTGGATGGATCCTGGGCTGGGATCCCAGAGGTCTTACTGCACCTAGGCAGGTCATGCTACCTCAAAATCTGGGGTTCCTTATCTGTAAAGTGCTACAGTAGCCTCTTAAGCTCCCTGGGCATCCAGCTTTGACTGATGAAAAGAATGATGTAACAAGTCTATGAGGAAGGAGGGACAGATGGAGAAAATGTGGTTTAGTGGAAGGAGTGATTGACAAGTGGGTCAAAGAGATGACTGAGAAACAGCTCAGCTTTTTTTTTTTCTTTCTCCTTGCTGTAGTGTGGGTGTTGCTGTATTTTGGATTCCTGGGTCTGTGTTCTGTGATCACGGGCAGCTGCATTATCTTTCTGCAATGGAAGAAGACTGTATGGCGGAAAGCGCGTGCTCAGCAGTGGGTTGAGGTGATGAGAGCTGCCACGTTCACCTATAGCGCACTGTTGTACTGGATCAACAAGCATCGGCAGTATGGGATGAATGTAGCCATCAATACAGGCCCTGTCCCTGCTGTTGCCAAGCCCGAGACTGACGTCCAGAATCCTGAGCCTTCTTGCAAGTTGGATATCCCTGAAGACACGAACTACCCTGTCCAATACAGCAATCCCAAGATGGAGGATCCTGATCCTCTGCAACCCACTCTGGTGGCACCACAACAGCCCATATCTTCCCTGATGCTGCAGCCCCAGCCCAGCTCCCCACTCCCAATCCTCATCTTTCAAGAGGCACCTTGTGCACTAACACTCTACAGCCTGCCTCCCATCCTGAGCCACTCTGTCTCCTACCCTTTGGCCAAGCATCCTGAAAGGAATATCCACTTCCATTCCCTCCCTGCACTGGCCCACAGGGCAAAGAGCTTCAATGCCAGACTTTTTGCTGCAGAAGTCTAGCCTCCTTTCACTGGTAGCTACAGCTCCTGAGGGCAGAATAGAAAATGGAGCTTACTTCAGGGAGGTGGTACTGATACAGAGATCAGCACCCATCTGGGTGTCACATTTTGAAGATTAAAAAAAAAAAAGTTTAAGGTTCTCTTGTGTGTCATTTGCTGTCAGGAGGGTGTCTTTCCTGTGTTTGGCTCAGGGAGTCAGGCACTTTGCAAACTAAGCTGCAAGGTCTCACCAAATACAAAGGTTGGCTGTGGGGGGACATACTGAACCAGTACTTGTAGAAGGATGCGATTCCTCCATTCAATATTAAGCCCAAGGCCTAATTCAATATTAAGCTAGGCCCTAGGCCTGTTCCCAAAGACACTGCTCTTGCCTAGCACAAAGGTATGGAGGTCCATAGTGGCTGTTAGTGGGCAAACAAGTCTTTATGAGACCTGTGAGCCAGAGGACACTAAGGGCTTGAATAGCTGATATCTATGATGTATGGATTTGTAGGTGGTCATCTCTGTACATTGTTTCTAAGACTCACAAGAATACTGACACATGGCTATTGTAAGCCTCCTCTTACAGATGAAGTGACAGGTTCTTGAGGGTACAGGGCATATTCTTTTTATGTTGCAGAGCCAGTTCTCCAATTTACATCTGCCAGGGATCAAAGTTCCTGATCTTTTCACCACAGCCCATGGTATTTCTTCCCTAATCCTGTGTCATTAGAATGTACCTGGTGAATGCTTTAGTGTGTATAGGGTATCAACAACTTGGTACACACATTGGCTTGGAGGGAGTAAAATTATGTGTAGAAATACATCTATTGCTTATCTTTCTTAGAGCTCCATGGCCTCCCATAAATTAAGATCTGCTATAAAGGAATATTAATAATTTTTGTCTTATAAAATTTTTATAAGTCTTATAAAGTATAACAGTCTTATAATGACAAAGGTAATACTATCTATTTGTTCCCTGTTTAAAGAAAGTTTTCAGGGTAGGGATTTAGCTCAGTGGCACCACTCCTCATAATCACAAGGTCCTGAGTGGTCCTGAGTTTGATCGCCAGCACCAAAAAAAAAAAAAAGTTTGGCTCTGTCACAGAATATACATTTCTCCCTTTTACTTTGAGAATGAGTGAATCCTTTCATTACACTTGTAAATAATCTAAGTATAGGGGAAAGGCCACTCAGAGAGTATGTATGTGTTCCTAGGACCTACTAAACATGTGGAGTTAGTTTTTTTATATGAAAAAGCCTCAGCCCCATCATACGGCCTCTCTAGCAATCGATTTAAAGCCTTTTTCTTGCAAACTTGCTATTATATCAAATCTCTAAATATAAAACAGGCTTAACTGGAGGTCAGGGGATCACTCTTCCCTTATCTTGCTCCTTCCCACTCTGCAGATCCATAAAGCCAAAGCCTTGCAGCCTTCACTTCTTCAAGCCAAGTATTGCAATCCAAATATATTCTCCAAATAAGGCAGATTCTTGAACATTACTTTTTGTCCACCATTTGTTACTCCTTGCTTTCAAAAGGAAAAGAGAGGGCCTGGAATTTAGCTCAGTGGGCCACCACCTGCCTTGTAAGTGCAAGGACCCAAGTTCAATCCCTGGTACCAAACCGAACCAAACAAAAGGAAGAGAGAGTCCAAAAATAGGGAACAAAGTTTTTTCCCCTAATAATCAGTGGGAGGGGGAAGGCTTTTATTCAGACACAGTGAGAGAAAAAAAGAAATGTTTTATTTAGATAAAATGGCTGTACTATTGATATGAAATAAGCAAAGCTGAATCAAGTTATGGAAACCTTGAATTTACTCTCTAAACAAAACCAAAATTGCTTATGCATTACCAAAATAACCTCACTAAAACAAAGTAGATTTACATTTCTTAATATGAGAAAATGAAAAGGTAGGTTAGGTTCTTATAACAAATACACGCTCTATAAATTCTCAGGAATACCCAAATGTGTTCTGGTTTGGATATGAAAGAAGGTACCACACATCTAGCTGGTGCTGACAAGCAAGCCAATGAGGTGTGTAGCAAACAAAAGCTGTCACTAAAAACAACTCAACAGGCAGTTAAGAGTATGAGTCCATTACAGTCAAAATCCTCAACTGTGACCAGCAGGACTAGCAAGCAGAGGCTGAGAAGGTTATGTCCAGCAACTGCAAAGAAAGAAAACTGCAAGGGAAGGGTAACAGCTAATGGCAGGGGAAAGGTGTCCACTCCTCTGCTTTGCTGATCAGACCCATTCCTGAGTGTCAAGCACCCTTCTGGCCTTCAGACAACACTACAGTCATCTTGAAGCCAGGTACTTTCTTCCTTTGTTTTTTTTTTTTTTTTCTCTTTCTATACTACTATTTGCCTCTTTTGACTTGTGGGGAACTTCTTTACATACACATTATGCTAGAGAGTACAAGGCCACAGAACAAAAGAATCAAGAAGCAGTGCTTTGGGAAACTAGAGAAGCAGTAGGAACTACCAGACTGAAAAAGTAAAAGGATTCACCAAAGCCAGACTCACCACCACTACTCAATCTTTGTCTCAGAGCTGAGATGTGACAGGTGAGGCCTGACTACAGTAACAAGACACAGGCTAAATGAGGACAACATAAAAATGAAAATTCCTAATTAACAATGAGTGGTGGGCTTCTGGGGCTCTTAAGTCAGTGTCTTTGCTCAACTGTGAACAAAGGAGATCTGGATACCTACCTCCTTCCAGGAGATATGGCAGCTTCTCAGGCAGGACGACAAAGGCCTGAGTGCAGCATGGATGTCTACGGAAGACTTGGTGGGGTGGGAATGGCATCACACATGGCTCTGTGGTGATGCTGGGAGACAGGCTTGAGGTGGGATTTTAGAAGAGAAAGTAAAACACAAAAACCAAAGAACCGCACAAAACTTTTATGGATAGTTACTGGATGCAAAAGAAAAGTACATACCACAAAGAGTTAAGGTGTCCTGAAAGTATCTGCCTTGAATAAGAACTTGAAACTAAAAAGGACAAGCTACATTACCCTCAAGTATATTTCATATAAATCAGTTTTCAAAAAAATACCTTCCAGGTACAGGCATACTATTTATGGTACAATATATACAAATATAGCAGTATAAGTCAATTTATTGCTAGAATTTTATTGGTTGTTACAAAACTGTAAGGGTGTATATATTAAAAAAGAAAGGGGTGCATGGAAGGCAGCCAGAAGAGCAAGTTATCTTCAAGTTACAAAAGTGCCAGACTAATTTAAAATTATAATTTAATTCTTCCAAGAAAGTGAAATAGGCAAGGAAAATGTTAAGGAAAAAAGTTTAAAAAGAGAAATATAAGCCAAAATGAGATAAGCAGAAAAAACTTGGTCTTGCTTTAACTAAATTTTAAGACTTCTAGAAAGAATTTAAGGTTAGCCAACATCAACTGAATGTAATGTAAGTAAAGAAAAAAATGGGATTTAAATGTTTAAGGGTACTGGACTACATCCATGGATGACAGGGCAACTTGGACAAAATTAAATGGAAATGATCTTTACTAAAGAAGTCTGAGAGCCTCTCTAGTTTCTCCCTGACTTATCTATATCAGTGTTAAGTTCTGTAAAGATTTTCTTTTGTGTTGCTCAGACTGCTTCTAGGAACAACACAGCAAGTCCAAGTCAACCTAAGGTGATATGGAGGTATTACTCCTTCCAGTCCAGGGGCCTTTTGTGTCAGGTTTACACAAATATTTAAAGGGAAAAATATTGTACTTGCTTGTATTAGATTTGAAAAAAAATTTGTTACCATCATGTGAAGGCTCTTGCTCCAGGCCTGCCTGTGATAGACCTGAAAATTATAAGGAAACTTGAATATGATTTCAGGTTTATTTTATCTCTTTGGCCTTAGTTATCCCACCAAGCAATATATCAGATTCTTTTATAAAATCCCAAAGGGTATGGTTTTCTGGGTCAAAATCAGAAGCACAGCTTCCCTCTAACGCTTTGGGTGGTCGGTCTAAGACAGTGACTGCCATTCAGAATGGAGACAGTACTGAAGTAAGGAGCCAAATATAACTTATTCTGCTTGTTTGTTTTTAAAGACAGGCTCTTACTATGTCAGACTGGTCTCAACTCATGATAATCCTGCTTCAGCCTCCCAAGTGAGGGGATTGCAGGTGTGTGCCACCATACCTGGCTCCAATTATAGCATTAAGATAGACTTGAGCGTAGGGTGGCTAGGAGAAGATCATTTAGCTTGCTTGGGAAGGGGGGCTATAGCTCCTCACTGGATAAGGTTTTATGTTCATAAACCCTGAAGGAGAATTTAAAACAAAAATCCCCACAACTCTACTAAGCCTGGGGCTGGCACTATCCCTACAGCATCCATGCCCTTACCCTTTATGCCAAACCCCACGGCAGCACCAGGGCTTTTGAGGATTGCTGTAAGGAGATGTGAACAGTTTCAGTAGCTACCAGATCAGAATAGTGATTTTTAATAACAAGTCATTTTTCACATCCCGTTCAAAACCATTTTCCCTACTTTCCACACAATATGCATAATCTTTCATTCATTTTAAATATTTACAAACAGAAAAGGCTTATCTTTTAAAGAAAAGACATTTTCTGAATCTCTATAAAGTGCAGCTAATTTAAGGCAAATTTATATGAAATATAAAGGTGGCTTATTCTCTCTATATACACATTTTCCAGTTTTAAAAGATAAGGTCTCCTTCCCTCAAAAAAAAAAAAAAAAAAAAAGAAAAAGAAAAGAAAAGAAAAAAAGGGCTTTATTTTTTTTCCTAACAATTTTAAAATGTAAGATCATTCTAGCTTCAGGAAATCGAACACTGTATTATATGTAAAATGTTTTTCTTTTTTTTTAAAAAAATAACTTTTTATATAGCTTTTTCAAACAAGTTAAAAGGTGGCAATGTCTGCTACAGTAGTTTGAAAGAGTGAGGGCTGATGGGTAAGTTTTTGTTAGCAAGTAGATTTTAAGTTGTCCACAGTATGTATATATCTATTTCTAAAATATGCCTGATACAGTTAGACACCTAAAGCTACTCTTAGCTCTAGGAACGAGTATCTTCCATCTCCATTGGAATCAAATGCTCTCAAATTCTCTGGTTCGGGTATGGCAGAACCTAGGGAGTTCAAAATTTCCTGGTAGGTCAGCTTCCCATCCACGTCCTGGCCAGTCTTATGGAATAAATCCTGAAGATCTGTCAAAAAGGAATTACAAAAGATGTGTATCTATACATACAGCTAAATGTACTTAAAAGTAACCTCAAATGAATTTAAAGAACTAAAAGAAAAGCTACTTTGCAGATTTTGTTTTACAAAGGCAACATTTAGGATCTCACTAAATTAAGACGGAGGTTTTTTTTTTTTTTTTTTTTTTTTTTGGTACCGGAGATCGAACTCAGGTCCTTGTGCTTGCAAGGCAGGCGGCGGAACCACTGAGCTAAATCCCCGGCCCAAGACTGAGTTTTGATTCTGTAAGAATGAGAATATTGTATCACATTATCCTTGGCAAATAGCATAAGTGCCGGACAGTCATGGAAAACATTCATGGATTGGCTTTCTCTGTGTCCAGGGCCTTCTGTTTAGATTTTATTCTAGATAGATTTTATTCAATGCTGAAAGGGTGGAAAAGAACACAGAGACCTATTCATAAGATTTAGCCTATGAGAGAGACTATGGTGAGTGTGAGATTTCTTGGTAGATGGCTGAGCAGAAACTGGAGGAATGTCTTGAAGTCCATAAAGCAGTAACAATCCCCAAGATTCACAGTTTTCTGAATTTTGATAGGAAAACCAAAGCTTAAAAAGGAAAGTAACTTACTGAAGGTCATATAACTCTTACATAACTCTATATAGACCGAGTATGTTTTCTTATTTTTCCTAGTGCTCTTTCTAATATGTGACATTGTCGCTTTGAATCCAGAAATTAAGCAGATCAAGGAGCAGGGCCTTTAAGACTGATGAAATGCCATTTCATCTTCAAAAAATATTGGTGAGGATATAGAAAAATTGGATAGATTCGTCTTATATTGGTGATAAGAATGTAAAATGGTTAGCTACTTGGAAAAATACCTTGGCAGTTCCTCAAGACATATAATATGACCCAACAATTTTATTGCTAGGTATATACTCAAAGGAAATGAAACATATATCTATATAAAAACCTGTACACTAATGTTCATAGCAGCATTGTTCCTAATAGCCTCAAAGTGGAAAAAACACAAATATTCAACTGAGGAATGGATGAATAAAATAATGTCCATACAAGGGAATATTATTCATCTACAATATGAATAGGCCATGAAGACATTATGCTAAAAGAAGCATACTCAAGTTCACATACTGTATGAGTCATTTATATGAAACAAACCCAAAAGGCAAATCTATATGGACAGTGGTTGCCAGGAGGTAGGAGCAGAAGGAAGTGGGGAGTGATTGTTTAATTGGCAGAATTTTTTTTTTTTTTTTTTGATACAGGGTCTCACTGTGTAGTTCAGGTCAGTCTTGAACTCACTATGTAGCCCAGGCTGGCCTTGAACTCACAGCGATCCTCTTGCCTCAGCCTGTTAAGTGCTGGGATCCTAGGTATGTGCCACCATGCCTGGCTAATAGGCAGTTTTGTGGTGGGGTGATGAAATTGTAGAATTAGATACTGGTGACAGTTGTACAATTGAGTATACTAAAAACTGCTCAGTTATACTTTTTTTTTGTTGTTTTTTGGTATTGAACTTGGGTCCTTGAGCTGGTGAGGCAAGCAGCAGAAACACTGAGCTAAATCCCAGGCCCAGTTATACATTTTGAAACGCTATTATGGTATGTGAATTATATCTCAATTCTTAAAAAAGCAGAGAGCTATATTTTCTCACTCTCTCTATAGTTTAAAAAATTTGGTAGATAAGAAAGAGAGCAATATTACCAGTTGACCTGTATCATTTTTATTCCCCAGGCATTATTTCACTCAATATGACTAGAGTATGTCTACCAAGAGTCCATAACATTTAAAAAAGGACTTCATTTTATCTCCATAATCAAATAGAGGATTTAGTGTCTAATACTGAAGGTCAATGGGACCTATGTTTCTTTAAAAAACTTCCTAAATTATTTTCTTTTCTTCATTTCTTCTTGATACTCAGGAAGAATTAAAATGGCCTGAAGGGAGGAAAACCAGTTCCAGTCCATCAACAAGTTCTTGTAAACACCTTCTGAATAGGGCTTGACTCTCACTTCAGTCAAAGGCCCAGCAATGCAGCTAGTAAAACCTCAAAAGCACTATGACAGCCAGAAAAGCAGGTAGAGCTGCTTCTTCCCAATGCCTGCTACCCAGTGGCTAGATCATTTTTTTTTTCATGGCTTGAGTTTATATAATACTCGATAGCAGTATTCAAATAAAAAATGATTGCTGCCTTAAGTCACTGCAAAAGTACCTGAGGCCTACAGTGAGATCTGAAGTACAAATGTTGACTGCTATTCTTTAATATAATAATCATTCCTCATTCATTTTTATCAGTTCATGATGTAATAATGGAAAGTGGGAGGAGGCAACTTGTGTTGCCTTTGAACACAATACTCTCCCCTACATAGAGAACAGAAAGGAAAAAAAAAAATCAGAGATAGGGAAAAAAAGTAATCGCATTTAGATGGGAATATAAATCTTGCCTGTTTTATGCTTCAAACATTAACTGCAGTCTGTCATTAATTCATTCATGCATTTAACAAATATTCATGTGTACCAGGCACTGTGTCTGGGAGTGATCAGGAGGACATAAACCTTACCTATGGAAGTTAAATTTTCTATCTCCCCAGGAAATTACAAGAGTGACAAGTGCTAAATAGGGCAACCACAAAATGTAACAGCACACAGGAGAAGCCTACTCTGGTCGTGGAAGGTAATGTTTCCTGATAAAATGGTATCTAGGCTGAAGTGAAGAAAGGTAGGTAGACAGGAATGGGTAATTTTTTTTTGCAGGAAGTTAGCAAATGCAAAATCAAGAGGTCTCAACATTGCAATGAATAGATGACACTACTGGAAACAAAGCAAACATTTTTCTGTGAATTATGTCCTTCCTACTAATATTTATTTTGCTAATATTTTCCTACTAATATTTATTTTATTGTCCAGATTTGGACTGGAGAAACAGGGTCAAATTTCATTTTATTTTGCTAATATCACAATATTGTTTTTGTCTTTATGCCTTCTACACTAGACTATAATATCCTTGAGGAAAGAATTTGAGATTGTATCTTATACTGCATCATTATAACTTTGCATGTGGCCCAATGAGGTGAATGAAGACCCTAAAGGACAATTATAGAGATAATATGGTTCTCTGGTTAATAGTGCAATCTTTTGTGACAGCCAGTCTCAGACTGAAAATTCTGCTCAACCAATTATTTGCTACTTGGTCTTAGGTATTTTCCTATCAGTAAAATGGTATATAAATAAGTCACACATGTGTAAATACCGAATAGTTTCTCTGGCGTGAATAAAGTATAATAGTACATAAAACCCTAATGATATAATGGACCATGTGAAATAGGAAGAAAGGGGCTAAAGGTGTAGGGAAGTGGGAAGGGTAGGGGAAAGCTAATAAGGGAAAAGAAAAAAATAAGAAAATGAAAAAATGGAAATGAAGTGTTTGTAAAGGGGGAGGGGAGAAGGGGTGAAGGGAGGGCACGGACAAGGGGGAAAATGAGAACCAGACCTGTCATGTAAAGGTACAAGATCCCAATAATGAATGTAACTGTACTGTATACCTAAAATGTACCAATAAACTCAATGAGGGGAAAAAAATGGGTATAATACATGAATTATATTCACAGGATGGTTAACAGGGCATGATGCATATTGAGCATTCAGAAGAAGTACTTAATGTTATATATCTTCTTATAAGTTAAAAACATTAAAAAGTTAATATTTTGAACATTCCCACCTTTATCTCACAGCACACAAATTTACCTGCAATGCTAGAAATTCCTGGTAGGGAGATAGGTCTGAATTGGGCAGCTTTCTCAATTTGGTCTCCAAGAAATTGTGAAAATTTTGGCAAGGATGATGGCTTTGATGTGAAACTCTGAACTTGCTCTGTAACAAACACATACACTTTTAGTATAATCAAATCTAACACCAAATTAAGCTAGTATTAAAGGCTATCTTTTAGGGCAATTGCATATGTACGTAATTTAAGAGAAACTGTTGAGAATTAAGTTGCATAGTTATTATATAAAATTAAAGTCTTGGATTAAGATATATATGTTTGTGGGTAAGTGAAGATGAATCAATATTACATTCAGGTTTGAAGAGGCAATCCTGTTAGAGTTTATTGTATAAGATTAGCACCTCTAATTAAAAAATTTGAAATCTGAAATGCTCTAATACCTAAACTTTTTGAGTACCAATATGACATAAATAGAAAATTTCACACATAACCTCATGTGATGGGTTGTAGTCAAAATGAAGGTGCACTATATACTATATGAAATCATCATCAGGCTATGTACATAAGGTATCTCATTATGTATGTGGATGTATTCCAAAAATCAGAAAAGATCTGATATCTGACATACTTTCCATCACAAATATTTTTGATAAGGGATACTCGAGCTATAGTATAAGTTAGTATTGTACACATTTAAATGGTAGTAGTTTAAACTATGAAGTGACAACATAATCTTTGGATTTGAAAGATCTTTTGACACCTTGTGAGATGTGTAGTCAGTCTGCTCTGGGATAACGTGCTACCAGACAAGCTGATTCTAGAAGAGTGCTGCTGTAAGATTATGTAGCCTTGTGTTAGAAGAAGGTCTCTCACTATAGTTCTCTTTCCTACCCAAAAAAATTCAAGGTAGCTGTACTGCTTTTCCAAAACTGAAAAATACTTCCAGGAGGGGTCAAGGTCAACACAGTCCAGTGCTTTTGTTATGCCCTCATAGGGCCTAAATCAATTTAAGTTAATGCATCTGCTAATACTGATTAGTTATATCCCTTACCTAGAGCCAAGTGCCCTTCCAACCCAATAAGGCCATAATTATATGTTAATATAATAACATTATTTTAGGGGCTAATATTAGAGGACTAATATTTATTTTTAAGTAAATTTTATGCACTTACAGAGATGAAAAGACTCCTATAAACAACATTTAAAACTAGTTTAATATACACTATGACAATAATGTTTTTGCTTATAATTGGATGCAGACAGCATGGAGAAGTCTATTTCCAGCTAAACATTACCCATTCTTCCCTTAATAGACTAGAGTACAAATCATGTACAAAATGGGCTTTTTCTAAATGAAAGCAAAGGGCATCAGCTTCATCTCGGTGCACTCAGGCATCATTCACTCCGTTCGATCAGTGCTGCTGGAACACCTTCCCCGCTCCCTGTGTGGGAGGCAAGCTTCCCAAGCCTGCGTGAAATATTCAGAAGCAAGCCCAGTGCTTACCTTCATCTGCAGTCTCTGGAGGCCTGTTACTCTCAGGTTTGTTTGTGAGAGCACTGATCAGCTGCAGCTTCTCTCGTAGCTTGGATACCTGAGAATTCGAACTATCTTCTTTCTGCCCAAAACAAAGATCAAAGAAGGTTTAAGGTAAAGTAAGACTTACCTCAATCTCCACTGTGTTCTTAGGGCCTATTTAGCATATAGTGCTTGACCTTCAGGAGGTTTCTTCTAAAGGCAATGAAGGAATGAATCAGCAAATACTAGAGATACCTTTGGTGCTCAGTGTTGATGAGTATCTAGCCAGACCCTTAACGGAAAATTATGCTCCAGATGATCTGATTCACTGTGAACATTTGGCTGATGGGGGAGGCATGCATGGTCAGCAGTAAAGGAAATGTACCCTTGCTCAAGTGTCTGTGAGATACCCATTTCCTAAATGAGGAGGATACTGTTGTCTAGGAGCTATTTCACACTAACTAAATAACTGTCCTGAATCTCTCACATCACTTTGTGACTGGATCTCCTAAGGCAGAGCTGTGTGCTTTTACCACCTGAAAAAGAAAAAAGCAGTGGAACCCAAACAAACCATGAATATCCCCAATCTTCCCTGTTCCCTATGATGATGATTCAACTAGTGTAGCAAGTATCATTAACATAAAGAAACAGTGATATTTCTAATTCAAAGTCTTACTTCCTTATAACTTTAAAACGTTTCCCTCGTAGACTCTGCCTTAGTCCCAGGATGATCCAGAGTGGCACATAAAAATACATTTAACTGTAAAAAGAGAGATGTCTAGTTTTTCTGAGGCTAGTTTCTAACTGCTCACACTATTGTGAAAAGGCTCAATCCTGCATTTATTAGGACAGGAGCTCATCTCACATTTCTTTTATTCAATATGTCTCCCTCCTATCTTTATTTCTACGCTAATAGTTACTGTATAATAGGTCTGGTTTATTTAGGAAGCTCCATTGTGGATATATGTAATGAAAACTAGGTACTAAACCCTTGAGGCATTAATGGTAAGGGGAAACTGTACCTCGTAGGACAAAGGGACTGATACATCAGGATGTATTAAAAACATATAAGGGTTGAAAGTAAAGCCAAGAAATTTAGCCAGATATGTACACTGGTATTGTGTTCTGATATTTACTGTTAAAAAATGTGAACTAACTCTTGAAATCACTATTTTTCTAATACTGTTACTTTTTTTGTGCTTAACATTTATTTCTTGTCATTCTCTAAGTGGCATTTACAAAAAGTTGCACAAGTAGCTATAAAACTCAAAAGTCCAGCTTATGATGCATTAAAACCTTAAATATATGACTTTATCAAGAGAATAAATCCAAAGTTGCCAAGTATGAAAAAAGATAAAGATAGAAAGCATTATATCAAAAGCTTCTTGTTCTGTGGTTCTAGTCTAAGTTCATTTCTTCTGCATTTCTCAAATGCAATGTGCATTATCAGTTAACATTTTAGTCACTCAGTTACAATCTCCTGACTTCTCCTTTATCTTAGCCCAGGACTTACAATATTAAATGGTACTCCAATCAAAGAATGTTGCAATCAAACTTTCTTTCCTGGTATATCAAAGCATATCACAGATTTTATATTTACAATATGTCTGGGTCGATATGGGGTGAAGGGAACTGTCTAAAGTTTAAATGGACTAGAAATATACTAAGAGTGTAACCTAAACATAGGAGATGACTGGATACCAATGAGGTTGGACACCATTTTTAGATTATCTATGCATTTGTCCCATCATTAGTACAGATAAAACTTAAGTTTAAACGTTATTTTCTGAAGGCAGCCTCCCTGACTTCTGTTAACCCTCACATCATACTCTATGCTTTTCCTTTGTAGCACTTATCAGACTTATAATTGATAAACTGACTTTTACTTCTGGGTAAGGCACCTGTTATTTACCTTTATGATTTGGGTTTTTATATTAGTTCTGTTGGTTATTTGATCCAAAGATTCCTGTTTCAGAGTGGCAGCTCTATCACCCATCTTAGAGGGCAAAAAGAACAAGAGGGAAAGATTAAAGACAATGATTAAAAGTTGGTTGACATCTAGTACATTAAAACAAAGTGGTCAAGGTTTTTTGAAGACAGGGTCTCACTATGTAGTTCTGGCTGACCCTAAACTTACTATATATCCCAGGCTCGCCTTGAACTTGCAATGATTTACCTGCCTCAGCCTCATGAGTGCTGCAATTACAGGCGCACGCCGCCACATTTGGCTGGTCAAGCTTATTTAAAGGGTCTCAGGCCATTTTCAACAGAAATGACAAAGAAGTGGGAGAATGGGAGAAAAGGAGGAAGAAGGCCACAACATAGAAAATGAAGGGCTAGGGATTTAGCTCAGTGGCTCTGCTGCCTGCCTCCAAGCACAAGGACTTGAGTTCGATCCCAGGTGAAAAAAAAAAAAAAAAGATATAAAATGGAAAATTGGTGCTTCTGGTAGTTCTGGTATTTTCAGTAACAAACTTTAAAACTTTGAAGTTGGCTGGGGATTTAGCTCAGTGGTGCCGCCACCTGCCTCACAAGTGCAAGGTCCCGAGTTCGATCCCTGGTACCAAAAACAAACAAACAAACAAACAAACTGTGAAGTATGAAAGGCAGAGTCAGGCTGGGCATGATGATTTCAGAAGTAACAATAGGACACATGGATATTATTTTCCCTGGAGAAAAATAAAGCAGGGAGGACAGGGACAGTAAGGGGAGTGTTTAGAGGTGGTAAGTTTTCACAATAAACCTTGAAAACTTTCAAGACATAATATTCATCAAATCATTCAAGGTTCCTAGCTCCTACTTAGCTTAGCTGAGTTGAAAAGGCCTTTTAAAAATAAGAGTTCCTTTAGGGGCCAGGGATTTAGTTCAGTGGTTCTGCCGCCTGCTTTGTAAGTGCAAGGTCCCAAGTTTGATCCCTGGTACCATTAAAAAAAAAAAAAAAATTAGTCATCCTTTGGGCCAGGGATTTAGCTCAGTGGTTCCGCTGTCTGCCTTGCAAGCACAAGGTCCTGAGTTCGAACTCCGGTACCCACCCCACCAAATAGAGCGCCTTAAATCTTTCTGGCTTTGTAGTAAATTACACACCATTGTAAAGCACAAGGGGAAAAGGGAAGAGGACAGGTCTTCCTATTCCACCATTCAAAACCACATCTAGGCAACTTGCCAGGGCTCCTCCATGGCAGAGCCAGTTCAAATATTCCTTGCCATATGTTGACTCTCCTTTTGAGTCTGCTTCCAGCTTTGGTGGTTACTTGAACTTACAGTACAATTTCTTGCATTTGGTTTCTACTTTAAAAAAATGCGTTTGGTTTCTATTAAAAAAAAAAAAAGAATTTAAAAAAAAATTTGGTACTGGGGATTGAACTTAAGACCTCATGCTTATGAGGCAGGCGCAGAGCCAGTGAGCTAAGTCCCCAGCCCCAGTGTATGAAATCTTTAAGGTGAGGCTTAAAGCTATTAAAAATAATCTACAGGTATCCTATTGTAATGTATATATAAAAGGTAAAAGACATTCTATTCATAAGAACATGAAAACTAGTAAACTGTAGGGTTGGCCACTTATTAGGTCATTTAGTTTCCTTATAAGTAAAATGATGGTTGGACTCAATGACCTTGTAAGTTGATCTGGTCTGACCTGATCTGGTTTAAATAGATTTCTTGACATTATATACAAAGAGCTCCTCTTAACTAGCAGACAGAAGTAGGGTAAATCTGAAAGGCAAGCTCAGGCTTAAAAAATGGCAAAAGATTTTTTTTTTTTTGGTAATGGTCACTGTCATTGCTCCCACTTCTAATACTTTGAGAAAGAAAATATCAAGATGTCCCTTTGGAAATATGTGCCAGAGCCTCCCACCAGATGGACCACTGCAGCATAACAGACCTGTCATCTCTGCCAACCACTTGGGGTGAGGCCTTGGCAAGCATCTTGACCACTCAATATCTCCCTTTCTAAATCTGGACTGGCACCACCTGTGCTATTCACATTACAGAACTAGTGTAAGGATTAAAGCAGACATGGATTAAGCATAACACAAATGTGTAGCCTCTCAAATATGCCAGAAGACTATTCTCAAAAGGTGGTGGAATGTCGCCTAGGTACAGACAAAACAATGCAACACAGATATATCACAAAAATATCTAAAAAGCTTACCATGCTGGAGGTCAGATTTGCTCTCTTTTCTATGTTGCTTAGAGCAACCATATCACTTTCTATCAGGTTGACTCTTTGGGTAACATTACTGAGTGTTTCATTCATTCCCTTGAGTTTAAGATCATTTTGTCTCTGGTACACCATTAGGACACTATTTACCTCCTCTAAAGAGTTATGAAGGTACAGGATATCCTAGAGTAGAAATAAAGCAAGTTGCAGAATCCAGCTAAAGATGCATATTAGGCAAGCAGGCAAATAGCACGGAACAACCATTATTGTGTCAAGTTACTGAAGCAAACTCCTTTTCCTGGTTGTGAACATCAATTGTCTGTCTCTGCTTTGTCCCTCATGCTCTAAATTGTTCCCAGTTTATCCCTCTGGTGTCGTCTCAGGCAGGAGGGGAAAGAGAGAAGAGGACTACCTACATGATTCCTCTCTGGTTCAAAAACAGGGAAGAGTTTGGGAATTGATTACCCAGTGTTTTCCTCCGTTGCTGGCAGAAAGCCTGCTGGTTTATTAACGGAAAGTCCCATTAACCTAATCTGTCAGAACAAAACTACCTTAGGAACAATACCAATTACTAAATTGGCTCATGTAACAAAACTATAACAAGTATTGCATTATTTAGTACAAGCTCCAATTATTTTTATTGACATCTTCTAGTACTGATTGCTACTTAAAAAGGAATGATGACTATAGGGCTTAAAGTGCATTAAACTATGAACAGAAATTCTTCTTAGTGAAGATTTCCTTTATTCTCTTTAATGTGATTTTGAACTCAGCATCCTTTTTTTTTTCTTTTCTTGCTTTTTGTCTTTAGACTTTAGAAAATCCTAGTTTTTAAGGATATGCCTCCTAACATTCTTAGAATTACCATGGTTAAAATTAGCCATCATTATGGAGCAATCTGCTACCCATCCATCTTTGACTTACCCAGACTGCTATTTTTCAGTTTCAGGGTAATCTAGTCATACTGTCTTTCAAGATGTGAAAAGGAATTTACTCCACTGACATGCAGGGGAAAAAGCAGTGTCGAGGAAGAGACACGATGGCTTTTTTGATGCATCTCTGTGCTAAGCTCTCAAACAAGCAAACACAAAGATGAGCACACACTGAGACATAGCATTAAACCCAAACTCTTCAGGCTGCCTCCATAGCCTATTGTTATGTAGTATATAAAACATAAAGACACAAAATACCTGTTTAAAATTCTCACTGTGGGTTTTATTGTTAAGGTCTGATGTAGCTGAAGGTGTTGGAATGATCTGGTTGCTTCCATTGGTCTCCTTCAAGAAGTGCTGATTCTGTTACAATGGATGGAGGTTAGTACAGGGAGCAAGTGATTACTAGGTCTAGCGCATTTCATCCACAGATTTAACTACAAGTACCCTATGTACCTTTAGTGTGACCAGTTTTGCATCCTGAGGGCACCAAAAACTTTTGGATCCGGATGCCCAGCCTGAAGGATGAGCTGGACCAGTAATGCTCAGATTATCCCAGGGCACTGAGAATGTCCTACTCCGCTTCTCATAATGGAATGAACTCAACAGAAATATTTCTTTTTTCCCCTATTACCTGTACTCCCAGAGAAACTGAAGAATCACTAGAATGTTCCTGTGACCAACTCAGTCTGAACCTGGGATGGTGCCATCATTTTCACTAGTCCAACAGCGTTTCAACATCACAAGAGTAACCAGTCACGTAACCACCGGCATCAGAAATTAAACACAACCAACAATCATAAATATTCCAGTGTTTCCCTTACAGCATATGCCAAGATCTGTGTTATCCTTCCTTTCCTATTCCTTCCCCACTACTCCAGTCTTTCTTTGTAGAGATGGAAGTATTAATATGCTCATACTGCATATATTTTTCTGCATTAGTGGGAAACACTGCCTGTCTTAGTCTTTCACCGTCTTTAACTATAACAGTATAAAGTATTTCTGTATTTGGTTTACTATTGTCAGTCATAGAAGTTTAAGAGGTAGATTTAATTGCAATAGAATGTAATTGGTAGAAACAAATTGTTTTCCTTGCAGTCTGAAACCCTAAACATTTACCAAACCTGCTTTTATAATAAAAAAAAGCAACATTAAAGAGAAAAGGAAGAAAAACCTATGATTCTGGAAAGCAGGAATTTTTCAGCTGGGAAAACGCATTTCAGAAAATGGTTCATTACTTGAGAACATGCTTAAGATGAAAGAACTGAGCCATAGGGGTCTTTATTATTATGGGTCATGAAATTACAGTGGCAGATGGAACCAGAAACCAGGTGCCTGGACACTTAGATCAATGCTTTTCCCTCTGAGTGAGCCCCACTAAACAACAGGACTACTTGTGCTGAAGAAAATGAAAATTCTTCCATCCTAGAGCTCTCTTACAGAATTCAGTTATCCTTGGTACAAACTTCCCAGTTGAAACTTATAATTCTTTTTTTTTTTTCTCGAGTTTATTGGTACATTTTGGGTATACAGTAGTACATTCATCATTGGGATCTTGTACCTTTACATGACAGGTCTTGGTTCTCATTTTTTCCCCTTCTCCTTTCCTTATTTACAAATACTTTATTTCCATTTATTCATTATTTCCTTATTTACAAATACTTTATTTCCATTTATTCATTTATTCATTTTTTCCTTTTCCCTTATTACCTTTCCCCTAACCTTCCCATTTTCCCTACACATAATTGACAATGTGAAACAGGAAAAAAAGGGATAAACAAAATTCTGAATGTGAGAACATGTAAGGCAGATCTAGAAATTAATCAACAGGCTAGGGAACTTTTATGCACCTCAAGTAGTATTGATTTCATGGACGTTTAACTCATCTTTCCAGAAAGACAGCAAGGGCTGTGCCAATCCTTTTTTACTCTTCATAAAACTTTCATGAAGCTGTTACTCACTGATTAATTAAGGTCTCTGCATGACTGTGGACAGCTTACATGTGGAGTAACAGAAGATCCAGAGACATTTAAAAACAATTCTGGGCAATACAAGGTCTTGCTTCTGTCTTAGCTGTCTGGCACTGCATAACAGATTATTTGTAAACTTTAAGGCTTAAAATAATTTATTATTTCACATGATTCTGTGGGTTGAATGTGTCACTTGGGTGGGTATTTCTCCTATTCCATGTGGTATAGGCTGAGATTACACATATGGCTGCATTCTACTGAGACCTGGCTGGAGTGGGAACATTCAATATGGTCTTGCATCCTCCAGATCATCTCTTCCCTTGACCTTTCAGCACTTTGGAGTAAAAGAGCCTACCTAAGTTCCTGGTGCTCAAAATAGTCAGAAATCAGAACTTGTTTTGCAGTGGTCTGTTCTGAAGCATCAAATAATTGAGACATTCTTTCCTTTTTTCCTATTTTCCATTCTACTCATTCCATCCTCAGTAACTGTTTTATTGTCTTCTCCTCCAGTTCCATATCTGCTAGACTCTGCTTTCAATTCTAATTTAAATGCTTAATTTACAGACTGCAGAACAATCAGTACATATTACTTATTAGAGCTTTTAAACAGGTGCATAGTTTGTCCTGTTAAGATCACTGGAAGTTGGTATCATGACTCTGACACACAAAACGGTGATCAGGAATACGCTGCCTTTCCATAGCATTTGCAGACTCTCTTACCATATCACTCTGCAGTAATTCCATGGTTTTTTTGTGTTCATCCACAGTTTTCTGTATTGTCTCCACAGCAAGATGCACACTGTTTAAAGTATTGCCAATGGAAGCTACACTCTGAATGGAGAAATATGTAAGAATGTCAAGTTTTTTCCCTTTTAAAAAAATTTATGAAGGTTAAGTGACATTCAATAAGCTGCACATATTCAAAATGTATAATTTGATTATTCTGACATAAATACATCATGAAACTACTACCATGATCAAGCAAACCTATAAATCCTCTTTTCTTGTTTCCAGGCAATCACTGACCTACTTTCTGTCACTATTCATCAGTCACATTTTATAAAACTTTACATAAATGCAACCTGTGAGTATGCATTTTTTAAAAATATGGCTTCTTTTACTCAAAATAAATGAGATTCATTAATGTTGTAGGTACTTAGCATGCTGCATTCCACTGCATGGATATGTCATTTATTCACCTGATGAGGGATATATAGGTTGTTTTCAGTATTTATGATTACAAGTAAAACTGTTATAAACATTCTTGTATAAGACTTTATGTGTACTTATGCCTTTATTTCCCTTCATCATATACTTTTTCATCATCACAGTATCTAGGAGGAAATAGTAGGTTATATGGAAGATCTGTGCTTAACTGTTTAAAAAATTGCCCAACTGACTTCTAAAATAGTTCTACTATACATTTTACAGTTATAAGAGTTCCAACAGTAGTGTAAGAGTTGCTATTACTGCATACCCTCAATACTGGTACAGCCAGTTTTTTCAACTTAAGTTATTAGTGTTATACTGTAATTTTAATTTGTATTAAACACTAACCTAATGTAGATCAGTATTTTTAATTATTTCAAATATCTTCAAACTATGAATGCCATATAATTTAGACTGAGATAATTAATAAGAAACTCTCTCAAATTTTGTACATACACATACACCAAATAATTCTCAATTTAAAGGATGTTTCCTAGAGGAAAATCAAATGTTCCCTAAAGGAAAACCAAATGTTTTTAAAGAAGAGATATTAGTTTACAAATGTGGGACTTGCAGTAAGGTTCCCCCATAAAATACTTGTATCAAGGCCTGTATGGGGAGGCACATGGCCAGAGTCAATACTTCAGACTGTCATTGGATCAGGAACAAATTACAACTTTTGAGGGAAAATGGGTGTCAAAAGTGTTTAGATCTAAGAAAATCAGCATTACAGAAATGAAGGAAAAATTCCACTTGGTAGTGTTTCTTTTATTGTACACTCCTTTAATTACTGAGTATGGCTAGACACAGGGAGTAACTTACTTTGCTTTCATTAGACCTGAGGAGGCCAAGTATATGGGGAATGTGATTCAGAAGCCATTTTTTAAAAAGCCCTGTCCTTAAGGGAGTACCCAAAAGTGTGTTACTTCTGATGGGCTCTGGCCTTTATTAAGACCCGATGATATTTTTTTTTTGGTACCGGGGATTGAACTCTGGTCTTTGTGCTTGAGAGGCAGGTGGCGGAACCACTGAGCTACATCCCCGGCCAAGACCTGATGATAATTTATAGTGGTAATTTTTGATTACACAGATATACAAAAATCTAAGAGATAACATTTTTAACTAAAATTAAAATTTCAATTAAAAATAAATTACATGGTATACTTTGAAGTTACGTGTTTGGGATGACTTTAACACTTCAAAGCTGAGCTCCCTGTAATAAAAGCAGTGTGTGGCATCATCAATGCCCAGATTTGCAGATTTGCACATACCTGGTAGAAGTCTCTAAGCTGGGATGCTATGAAAGCTCTGTTGTCACAAAAGCTACATTCAAAGACACATACTGTTAGAGAATCCTCACTGGCTGGATGTCTGAGCCCAGCAGGACACATGAAGATAGTAAGCTCTTGTTTAGGACTTTTTTTTAAGGAAGCAGCTGACTGAGTTTTGGAAAGTCTGTAATGACATTCTGAAACTAGTACTCCCAACTACAGTGTGCCTGGTACACAGCAGAGGAGGCTCCACAAATGATTATTGAATTAATGAATGCAATAATAAATTAATTTCTTTTTCTAATACAAGGTTGCCAAAGTTGTTTCTGTAAAGCTACAGAGGCCTACCTATTTTTCAGTGGTGCTTGGGAACAAAGGCAAGAATTTGGTCTTGTCAAAGTTGTCCCCACCTTTTTTTATGTTGAAAGCAAATGATTAGGTTGGACACATGGTGAACTACAGAGACAGCATACATGGACACTATTTAGCTATAAAATAACAAGTTTTATTTTTGTTTGTGGCTTCATTGCTCTATACAACTTAATAGTTTATAGATAGATGGATCCTGGCATGTAATTTAATCAAACTATCACACACTAAACTTTTTTTTTTTGAGACAGGGTCTCACTATGAAATTCAGGTCAGCCTTGAACTCATCATGTAGGCCACAATGTTTTTGAACTCGTGGCTACCCTGCCTCAGCCTCCTGAGTATTGGGATTACAGGCACAGATCATCATGCTCAGCCATGCTAACTTAAAAAAATCAAGGATTCTAGACTTAATATCCAGTGTTTGGGTTTTCTTACTCCTCAATTCCTTCTTTTGGATGTAGGAATGAATGTTCCTTGTGTTCATTTCAATACCTTCTTTTCCCTTACACCTCCTATCCCCTCTCCCCATGCAGCTTTTTTCTTTTTGGTACTGGGGAATCGAACTCGGGTTCTTGTGCTTGAGAGCCAGGCAGCAGCATCACTGAGCTAAATCCCTGCCCCAGCCCCATGCTGCTTTAAAGGATTCCCAAATATTATCCATCTGCTTGGTCTTTGCCTCCAGCTCTAGGCATGAATCCTAGGAATCAAGTAAGCAAAAATTCAAAATGTTTGTTTGCCTAGGCTCTAGAATCTAGTGTCGACATTTGTGGGTGAATTGCTTACAGTATGTGCATGTTCACCTTTATAAGAATAACATTTGTCTTCCAAAGAGATTTCTTCCAATTTTTACTCCCTAGCAGGAGTGTTTGAAAGTCCTTTACACTTCATTCCTTTGCAAACACCTGGTTCCTTAAATATTTCATTTTTACATTTTCCTTAAATCATCATGTTTTTTAAAAACATAAAAACAAAAAACTCCCAACTTTTTCTCAACCATAAAAGAGAAATTAAGAGCAATTTTCAATATATGGTTTATGTTCTTTTGTTAATGACAAATTGAAAAGGAAAGGAAATTGTTGAAAAGCAAACCCATATAAGGTAATATAAGAGTTCTAACAGAGCAATTTTTGGACTCAGAGAGGCAAATAAAAAAGTGTGAACTCAGTGGGTGTGGTGATGCATGCCTATAATCCCATTACTTAGGATGCTGAGGTAGGAGGATTGCTGCAGATTTGAGGGATCCAAGACTGCCTGATTTCAAGGCCAGCCTGAACTACACAGCAAGACCCTTCTCAAAACAAAAAAAGTATTAACTCATAAACCATAGCTAAAGTAACCTGTTGCAAATTAATGGCTCGATTAACCAGACCAAAAGAAAGATGCTCTGAACTCTTTAGAACACAGTGATATTCTCTATTACTGCCCTCTCATGGCACCTGATTTCAAATGTCAGGCTTTCAAAGAAAATTTGTAAGAAGCTGGAATTTAAGGTGCCCATACATAGCACTTACCTTCTGAAGTCCCTCTACAGTGTTAGGCAGGCTAATTAGGTCTGCAGCTGACTTAACATTGGCTTTGAGGTGGTTTACTGCAGAAGTCAACAGAAAAATCTGGAAGGGAAAAAGCAACAAGCAACAAATATAGAATTTATAGAGTATACACTTCTTTCATAAACTCTGTGGTTGATGATGTCAGTGTACCCTGGCAGCTCACAGGAGCAGAGGAGCTATATAGTACCTTGGCTAGAGCTGAGATTCAGAAAGCAGCATTAATACCCCTTCTTTCCCTGACCAATTTAAACTACTGCCAGAGAGGGAAAGGAAAGTATTATTCTTTACTGTAGCCCTGGCAGCTACAAGGTCCAAAAATCTTAAATTACCCAAAAGATGCAGTAATTACCATACAATCCTTCAACAATTGAACAGGAAGAAAGCTAATGATCAAGGACCACTTCAAGATTTCATTTTGGTAAAATATAACACCTCGGTTATTTAACTGAACTTTTGTTCCTGGCCAAGTGGGAACATATTTTATAAAGTAAAAGCCCATCATCACAAAATAGAGTCTACATATACTGTATCCTGACAACCTGAACAGTACTTTCAACTGCTTGGGGATTCTGTTTTGGTTTAATAATGTGATTAATATTTCAGACTCAATAGCTCAACTAAAGTACTACTTTCTACCCTGAAGGGCTCAATAAATACTCATTGACTCACTGACTGATGCAATGAATGTATTACAATAGGAACTGAATAAAAATGTGGCTTCCTTTCTGCTACTTAGGGGAAGAATTTTAAATAGGTGGACTTCTCCATTGAACGGGGGCTGGGAGAACCTGCATTACATTCAATTTCAGGCTGCAAAGATCATATTCTAACAATACTTTTTTTTTTTTTTTCGGTTTTTTGAGGCAGGGTCTCACTACGTAGTTGAGACTGACCTGGAACTCACTATGTAGCCCAGGCTGGTCTTGAACTCACACTGATCCTCCTGCCTCAGCCTCTCGAGTGCTGGGATTACAGGCGTGCGCCACCATGCCCAGCCTCTAACAATTCTTGCAGTGTGGTTTAAAACACTCTTCAAAGATTCTCAGTTCCAAATTCTATTTGCTTTTCCTATTCCAAATTTCAGGATGAGAACACAGATCTAACAACAGCAATTACAAGAGTAGCCTTGTAGAGTAATTATCCCAATTTCTGGGCACTTGGCAGCAGTCGGACATCAGACCAAGTAGAAACGGATTCCCTATCACTCCCTCAACAAATGCTTGGCATCTTCTCATTGCCAAGCATTGCTGCAGGCAACAAGGAGACAGTAGCAAACCAGACCATGAGGCTTTGCTCTCACAGGGCTTAATCCTAATGGAAGGTAACAGAAAAACAAAGAATCAGCGATAAGTACTGTGCAAAGAACTTAACTAGAACTGCTGGGGTGAGTGGCAGCTCAGTCTGGACAAGGGATTCCAGTGAGGAACTGTTTTTCATTTCCTTCTTTCCCTTTACGAGGGGTAAATTCAGAGGCTTAAGACCATTGTTCATTTGTTAATGCAACAAATATTTATCAAAGCCCTATTATATATCAGTAGTGATCAACACTGATATCAGGAATCTTTAGGTGCCTATATTTCAGACAATTTTATGTAACAAAAACAACAGATGGCAGGAAGAAGTAGAAGAAAATTAAAATAAGGTGATCTGATAGAAGTGACTGGGCAGCTACTTCAGATCAGAAGGTTAGAGAAGGGGCCAGGTGCATATCTATAATCCCAGCACTCTGGGAGGCTGAGGCAGGAGGATCACAGCCCAATCTGGACAACTCAGCAAGACCCTGTCTCAAGAAAGGGGGTGGGGACGTGGCTCAGTGTGAAGGCCTCAGAGTTCAAACCCCAGTACTGCAAAAAATAAATAATACCCTCCCCAAAACATCACCAAAACAGGTCAGAGAAGGGCTCTATAAGGAAGTAGAATTTAAACAGATTTATATAACAAAGAATCATACAAAGACTGGATGAATATTATAGGACTGAGGAAATTACTAGGGCAATTAAAAGAAAGTGCTTTGTACATTTAAAGGATAGAAAGAGGTTCAGGTGGCAGAACTTGGCTAGAGACACAGGAAAGGGCCAGAACCGGAAGAAAGGAAGGACTTTGTAAATCAGAACAAAGACATGGATTGTACTTCAGCTGTAACAGGAAGGGGTGTAAGGAGGATAATTACATGACTGCAGATACCTTGTATGAGTATTACTATGGCTGTTTTATGGAAACAGGAGACCAGAAAGAAACTGATTTGGGTAGTCTGAGTAAGAGACAATGGTGGTTTGGAATTTACTTGTAGCAGAGATAGTAGCAGAAATTGACATGACATGATTTTCTGGGACTAGCTATGAGGGGTGAGGAGGAGAAAAGAATTAAAGAAACTCCTAAATCTTTCACTTCAAGGAGCTGAGAGCAAGAGGGCCCATTAAAGAAAGAATTAAGCATTGACTGTGATACAGGTTTTGAAAAAAAAAAAGATATTAGTGCAGGCAGAAAGGACAGGCTTTACTGAAGTAGCACTCAAATTAGACTCTGATGGCAAAGTGAAGTTTTATATACAAAAATAAAGCAGGCAATCTTTCTAGGTTAGAAGCAAGAGAGTGGCATTGGAGAATGTATAGAGTACAACAGCATCATAGGTTCAGCAGCACTTTTTCTACACTTCTCAAAGTGACAATGATTTAATATTGAGGTTGCTCTCCTCTAAAAGATTGTAGACTCCATGTCATCAAGGACCATGTCTGTTTTATGTTCCACAATATGCCTGCCACAAAGACAGAAATTCAGTAAGCATTTACTGAATCAAAAGAAGAATGAATGGCTAAGAACTAATACTTGGGATGGAACCTGTGGTGGCTACTCCCAAGCAAAATAGAGGGAGAGGCCACAAGGTCAGAGATAAAGTTAAATAAGTAGTGAATTTATTTTTATCACTGTAGTGCTATGACCATAACAATAGCAACAACAGCAGCAGCAACAACAACAGTTTAATAAACACCACAGAGGGATGTGTGATGGTTTAGAAAATATATTTACAAAATTTTTAAATAGTTTTCCCTTTAAGATGAACTCAATTCCCTTCCCCTTGAGTTTGGTCTTGACTTAAGTGACTTGCTTTTAGTGAAAAGAATAAAATGGAAGTGACATTTGGCAACTTTGGAAACTAGGTGATATGTCAAAGGCACTATGACTACTATGGCTTCTCTGCTCTCACTCTGGGGAGGCCAGCTGCCATTTTATGATGAAACACAAACAACCCCATGTTGGGAGGAACTGAAATCTCTTGCCAATAGCCATGTGAGGACCTGTCAGGCCTCTTCAAGCCTTCAGATGAGGAAGCCCTAGCTGATACCTTAGGCTTACAGATTCTATCTGGCCAGAAGCTTAGCTATTCCCCAAATCCTGACCTACAGAAACATAAAGAATAAATGTTTATTGTTTTAAGCCACTAAATTGCGGGATGATATGTAACCCAGCAACAGATAACTAATACAGGTGATAAGAATGAAATGCCTTATGTAACTAGAGCTTTTAGCACAGTATCTTGTACAAACATCAAATAAATTTGTTATTAGTAGTGAAATTTAATGAGCAGTTAAAATGTAATTCTCCATAAGTGCTCTAAAATATGCAGACTACTTATCAACATTCATTAAATATGCAGACTACTTATTCTAACTCTATCCCTTTAAAAATAGGTGAAAAACATAACCTACATTCTGCAAGTTATAAACCTCTTTGTTTTTTTGGTACCAGGGATTGAGCTCAGGACCTTACACTTGCGAAACAGGTGGTGGGACCACTGAGCTAAACCCCCCTGGCCTAATTTTTTTTTTTTTTTTGATACCAGGGATCAAACTCAGGTCCTTGCGCTTGAGAGGCAGGTGGCGGAAACACTGAGCTAAATCCCGGTCCTATAAAGCTCTTAAAGCTAGTAGTTACATCAAGGAAATTTTCACTTATCCTTTTTAAGAAGATATGAATAATATTAAGGTTTGAAAGGACATGAGGAGGCAGGCATTCTTATGCATTGTTCATGGGAGTATAAATCAGAGGAGCCTTGTTAGAAGTTTATCTAGAAATACCCTTCAAAATTTGAAGTGTTTATGTTCTTTATTCAGCAGTTTCAATTCTAGAAATCTATCCTGACAGATACTTGCTCATGTGCACAAAGATATACGTACTCTGATATTCATGTCATTTTTTTTTTTTTTGGTACTGGAGATCGAACTCGGGACCTTGTGCTTGCGAGGCAGGCAGCAGAACCACTGAGCTAAATCCCCAGCTCTGCATTCTTTATTTGTAATAGAAAATCAACTAGAAACAATCTAGTATCACCTCTGATGGAGATATATTTGGTGAACAAAGCAAGCTGCAGTACAACACATACTGAATTACCCCACTTATTTATACTGGTACTGGAGATCGAACTCGGGACCTTGTGCTTGCGAGGCAGGCAGCAGAACCACTGAGCTAAATCCCCAGCTCTGCATTCTTTATTTGTAATAGAAAATCAACTAGAAACAATCTAGTATCACCTAGGATGGAGATATATTTGGTGAACAAAGCAAGCTGCAGTACAACACATACTGAATTACCCCACTTATTTATACACACAGGCTAAGCCATAAGGTAATTCATATTAAAAGCTATTATGGTTTTATAAATGAATAGAGGATTGTAAACATGCAGCCCATATTATAGACAGTGGATAACTATGAAGATGTAGAGCACAAAGGAGAGAGGGGGAGACAGACAGAGAGAGTGAGAGAGAGAGGCAGGTAGATGGGGACAGAAAGGGAACTGACATGAGTTCTACATTATTTATTTAAATCTTATAGATGAGAAAAAATATATTTTAAAAATCCCATAATTTTGGAAAGGTTTTGATGGGTTTCCTTGGCTGCCCCTTTCTTCCAAGTCCTCACTGGGCCTTCCAAGACCCATAGGCTGAGCATGCCCATGAAGTGGTAGGAAGGGGTCTCCCCCCAGTTAAGTTTTACTCATTGCCCCGAAGTTTGTATATAATCAGCACAAAATCAACTTGATGGACAAGAATTTAGTTACTC